TATTTGCACTATCAGGGCTTGAGATTGTAAGCTTCCCCGTGCTTCACACCGTACTGAACACTTTGGGTAAAATTTACAATAAATACTTGCAGCCCTGATCATGCACCCATTGAATTCAACAGCAGTACCTGAATTGATGTCAAGGACCCTAATGGTATGTCTACACTGCAGCAGGGAGCATGCCTCCCAGCCTGGGTAGTCAGACTTCTGCTACCTCTGCTTAAGCTAGCGCTCTAAAAATAGTAGTGGGGACATTGTGGCACTACTTGCCTGAGTCCAAGCCAACCTGATCCCCTGAGTCTGAGCTCGGGTGACTAGCCTGAGCTGCTGCCCATGCTACAAGGTTCACACTGCTATTTATAGTGCCCTAGCTCAAGCAGAGCTAACTCAAGTCTGTCTACCTTGGCTGGGAAGCAAGCTCCCAGCTGCAACATAGATATATCCTCGATCACATAGCCGCTTGAGCATCTGGCCATGAGACTCTAAATACACTTCTTTGGCGACTCATGTATGAACAGATGACTGTTCTGATATTTTCTTACTACCAATGTATTTTATAAGCAGCATTGGCTTCTCCATTCATTTCTAGAAGTAAATGCTTAAATTGTTTATATAGTAAAATGTCATTGTGGCGTACTATGGTATTTAGGGCCAAAACACTCTTACAGTGAACATGCAACCACAAAAGTTCCATTGGATGAAGATAGTTCTTTCTGGTGTTGTCTAATCAGGATTATTTTAATTTAAAATATAAAAGGCATGATAGAATCATTTGCCCTCAGAGACTGATGTGACATTATCAATAAGTTCAGATTTTTATCTCCAGAAGTCTGAGGATCCCTCAGACATATGGCTGCAACCCACATTGATTTAGAGCTCGAATCTGCATGGTGCGGAGCACTCTGGCCCTGATCCAGGAAAACACTTAGGCACATGCTTAACTCTGAGCATCACAGCAGTCTCATTGACTTTAATGGTATACTCATATTCTTCAAGTTAAGCATAGATCTGAATCAGTGCTCAGCATCTTCCAGGACTGAACCCTTAATTCTGAGGGCCAAATCCTGTAAACTTTATTCTGGTAAAATTCCTACTGAAGCCAATGGGACGTAGGTCAACCCATGTACTTTTATGGTCCCCATCCTCATAATATCCTTCAAAAATACTGAATACTTTTCAGGCTGGAGGAGAAATGGCTTGATTAGTTTCTAGGGTTTTTGTTTGTATATGAGGGTATGTTTTGTTTTTGTTTGTGCAGGTGGAGAAGTTTTGAGTGAAAGCTAAGTTAAAAAATGAGTTTTGCATGTAGTTCCCAAAGCAGCTATGTCCATGGTCATTTTTGCTTCTTGTGGCCTGTAAAAGTTGCACTTCCCACACTCATGAGCTGCCCCCTAGTGATTGACAGTTTTGTTGTTACAGTGGAACATAGTGGTCATGGGAGATCATGGTTGCAATGGGAAAGAATCTCTTGAATACCTAGGGTCAATCCTATGGGAGCCTTTGACTATGGGACAGAGATCTTGATTCAATGGGGAGCAGTGGGGTGAGCTAATGTGCTCACAGCAATCTGTTTTGCTAAGCACAAAGACTAATACAGTCTATTTCAGCTTATTCATTCCCAGATATCGTGAATTGAAAGAAAATCAAACCTGGAGATCATATGTGATTGGCTTACTGTGGCCAGATCCAAGTTTGACAGAATGGGGTGGATCTGGCCAATTACACAGTGCTTTTGCTGCTTTGGGTATTTAGGCCTCCCCTGGGGTCTGAGTTAAGGTGACAGTTGGTGAGGATCTGGCAATGTTCCAGTTGCCCTGGATATAGCAGATGTGTTCAATATTCCTAAACACTGTGCTGGTGCTGTGTTGTGGGAAAAGGTGAAGCTAGCAAAGATACACTCCAGGGTAGAGCTGATTTAATAATATTAAAAAAAAAAAAAAGTTTCTGACAACAGTTTTCTATTGGGAAAATGCTGATTCCATTGAAAATGTTTTGTGGGAATGTATTGACTTCACTGAATTTTTTGAAGTTATCAACAGGATTCTCATTTCAATAAGTTTTTGAAACATTTCATTGTAACTTTTATCATTTCAACTTATAATTTATAATATAATGTAACTTAAAAGTCAAAACAAAATTGAAACAAAATATTTCTAGCTTATCAGAATGAAACACGTTGATAAGGTTTTTCAATGTTTCCAAAACAAAATATTTTAGAATTTTTGTTTTGTGGTAAATTTCAAAATTTCAACTTTTTAATGTGATTGGGGATGAAAGGAAACTTCGGCATGTCAGAACTTACCACAGAACTGCCCAGCTGTGCTCTAGGTGAGTGGAAAATGAAGGTGCAAGTGGGAGAGTAATTTTCTTTTAAAGGTTACAGATATTAGGTTGCTTAGGCCTGGGTAACAGATGTGTAACTTAGGTAGTGGTAGCACATAATATCACAGACAAGTGCTGCTGGATCCTCTGTATTTTAAGCTTTGGAGCAATGGTGGGCAACCTGCAGCCCGTGGGCTGCATGAGGCCCATCAGGGTAAGCTGATTGCAGGCCGTGAGAGATTTTGCAGATATTGACCATCCACAGGCACGGCCCCCGGCAGCTCTCAGTGGCTGCGGTTCACCATTCCTGGCCAATGGGAGCTACGGGAAGTGGCGGCCATCCCATCCCTACATATTTGACTAAATATGTAATATTTTCTAGTGAATTAATCTGCCATTTTGTAAAGGAGGGTGGTTTTTGTGCCCCGAAAACTGCTCATTTGCCCTGATTTCAAAATGCCATGATTAATTTAGAATCCTTTTCTTTAAGACTTTTCGGTAAATTATTTTTTCATGATTAGTTCTACCCATTCTTTAGATGATTTTGTTGTAGCTGTGCATCTGGAGTCTCATCTTCAGAGATTATTGGATTAACATTTTCTGTATATTGTCACAGAAAATCTGATGGACAACTGCATTATGACATTGTATATAGAATTATGCATGGCATTTCCTGGCTTTGATTTCTTTTGGATTGTCCATGGGACTTTTATATAAGATAGTTGCCAATTTCTTCCTTTTTAAATGTTTCTGATAGAACTGAACTATATTTAGAGATAGGCAGATAATTGATTTTTTTTTAGTTCAGTGGATGAACCAAAAAATCTCCCCCCAAAATTCATGTCAGGTTGATCCAAAATGACAATTTTTCAGTTTCTCACTGAAATGATTTTTTTTGTTTGTTTTAGATCCAACAATACAAAACATTTTGTGTCATTTTGGGGTGTTTTTATGTCTCCCCCATTTTTAGTTAATCTAGTTAAATTTCTAAATAAAATACTGCTTTGAATCAAAATGTTGAAAGTTTCATTTAAAAAATGTCAAAACAAAATGTTTATATTTTCTTTGGAATCTCCCTCCCCTTTTTTGGAGCAAAAACCATTCTCTAAATGCCACCCAAATTTGCAAATAGTTCGTGTCAATCCAAAACTGCATTTTTTTGTGAATAAACTATTCACTGAAAAAAAAATTGCCCAACTCTAATTATATTGTCTGTTCACTAGTTGGAGAGTGCTACAGCATGCATCCAGTCTCTAATATTCAGTTTCCCCTGTCAGTCTGCCCCCATTACAGATTTTATTGCTATAATCAAGAACTATGCACCTTCTGATTATTATTCTCTACACCTTGAAAGGGTTCAGTTCTCCTTTAGTCTTTAGTGCACTCTCCAAGGAAATACAAAATAATAATGTGCCATATGGCAAATGGAATCAGCTTCAACTCCATGCAGCATCTTCTATCATGTGGTATTTTACAATATGACAGTCTCAAGTTTGTAATTGATGAACACTGCATCTCCTCACATAGCTCTGACTCTATACCAGGGGTCTCAAACACGCAGCCCGCGGGGCTATTTCCTGTGGCCCACGCACGCCTGCCCCCCCCCCCCCAGCCTACCTCCAGGCCAGGGATGGGCAAACTACACGCACAGGATTGCCCCCCTCAAGCCTCGCACGGGCTGGCATCACGTCCCTGTGGCTGGGGGGTGGGAGAGGAGAAGCAGACGGCTCTGTTCTTATATTGCCCTGGCTTCCAGGCATGCAAGGCCGGCTCCAGGCACCAAAGCACATGCTTGGGGCGGCACCTGGTAAGGGGCGGC